AAAACATCATCGTTTTTTCAAAATCACATAAGACCATACTATAACATCGACTGAAATAAATAATAAAATAAAATATTAAAATCAATATGTATCTCGCTGTATTGTATGAATACGCTTCTAGTCATTTCAAATGAAGGGATCAAGTTTCGAAAATTATACAAATTTACATCATTTTTAGAAAAAAAAAATAGATTATTTGAAATGTAATTAGACATATTATATTTTTAAAAGAATATGTATTTTATTTTCTATAATTTGGTACCTACAGAGATACAACTTTTTTCAATTTTTCAAACCATATTTTGAAAACCTTGACCATATATATAGAGAGAGACGGGTTACATTACAAACCGCTCAATTCATGAAAAGCATGCAAACCACTTTCAACCAATAGAAAATTTTCGTTTTTTTTCCTTTAATTTTAATCAGTAAGGGTGTAATAGTAATTCCATTGTATATTGATTAATATTAGAAGGTAATAAATATTGTTAATTTTGGAAACGTAATAATGAAAACATTTCATATAGAAGGGGGTAAATCATTTCTTCTTAATATAAATGTTTACCATTAATATGTTTTATTATTTTTTACCATTATATTTTATAAAAATATGAATTTTAAAAACAGTAGAATATGAAATCTATGTTTCGTTTCATTGAAAAAATATATGTACTTTGAGTAATGAAACTAATTTTATGTTCAATAATAACCAGCAAACGATTTCACAATATTTCAGAACGTTTTAAGCATGAAAAACGTTCATTAAATAAAAAAAATATTCAGTTTTCAAAACGTCTCATAAAATTTTTAAAAGTGTTTCATTCTTTATATATTTCATCGTTCAACACTATATGACAATCGGACTTTCCTTAATGGCAGTCACGTGAGTTCGTTCTATAAATAGTGAAACAGTTTCTTTCATTAATTTAATGATACAAAATATTTGCTTAAGTATTCAAAGTGTTTCATTATTTTTAGTTGATTATGGTATGTTTTATATTTCATATTTATAAAGATATACCTAACTCATTGTAGGTAACAAAAAGTCACATGAGTTCGGTAGATGAAACGGTGAAACAGTTTCATTCGTGAAATTTAATAGTACAAAAAATTTGCTTTAATGTTGAAAGTGGATTGTCAAAACTTGTTAGGTTACTTGGAATTCACAATATATTACTTTTTTATTTAGTTTTATTTTTTAGAGCATTTTGTTGATGAAAGGAGATAGAATTTTTTTTAAATATCCATAATAATCTTTATTTAAATTTTTAATTCAAATTTACCAAAATTATTAATTTCTTAATTTAATTATTATTTAATATGATTTGTAATTTATATTATATCTCACGGATCTCACAAGGTTATTGAAAAGATACAAATCTTTAAATTTGGTGAAAATTTTATAATTCCATATTAAGGAAATATAAATTTCATTTTATTTGTTTTTATTAATGATGTTGAATGTATTCTTATTTTCTTACTTTTGTTTTAATGTGCGTATTGGCTTGATGAATTTATAAAATACTTTAAGGTCATGTTTGGTGAAAAGTGATGTAAGGGGGTGGGGATATCAACCCCTTGAGAAAAATAACTTATAACCATAAATAATATTAATTATATTTATTATCGTTAAATAATTATTATTATTATTAACTATAATTTATTAATAAATTTTAATTATTAATTAAAAATTATCAATAAATATTGATTATTTACTAATTTTAATTGTT